TGAAAGAAACATAGTGATTGGATTAGAGGTGTTCGGGTGTGATGAATTTTGATCGCGTTCATTTTCCTAGTAAATAAATAAAAGGCAGATGCAGCCTCTGTTTTAGTCTTGGAAATGTGTCTTGGCGAATTATAAGTTAAAGGATATATTTCATTCATTCTTTACACTGAGTTGAGATCGTAGCACTTTGCTTTCGAGTGAGTTGATATATTTCATTTGTTCTTGGGAAAGGTTTGGATGGTAGTACATGAGTAAGAATTTTTGGAATCACCAAGCACTTGATCTGGTTGAGTTTGGCCTCTAAACTTACTAACTTTGCTGTAGGCGTTTGGCTTTATTCTACAAATTGTGCATTGCATTATAGAAATTGTCATAAATAATATATTTTCTATATGCAGCTGCAACCAATCAACTCAAGGGATAACACTAGACAACTAACTCTTGAGTGTTAATATATGCATGTACTTCTTTTATTATTTTTTCTGAAAAACTTTCGATCTATCCATCAACTATCAAGGTAGTACAAAGAACACCAGAAGTAAAAAATTACATCCAGGTACCTAGACCACCTAGCGATGACTACAAGCACTTAAGCAAGCCAATGACGCGCAGCTATCATCACCACTCCCTCATCAGAGCCGAGCAAACCTTGTTGTAGTACACAGTCGGGAAGTCTAGGACATGAACCCGAGCGTTTTGGTTCCATCACAAGGAACAAAACAAGCTACGCTCAGTTTGCTAAATCTCTACTCAAACTTTAGGAAGTGATGTAGAGGTGGTTTCCAACCAAATTCTTCAAGCCTATTGGTCTACCGTTGCCAAGACGCGTGGATCTCATCTTTTAGTCCATTAGAGTAATTAATAAGGACATCTATTTGATTAGAAAGAGACTAGTTTAGTTAGGAAGATAGGGATTTGATTTGTTCAGAAAGTTCAGGTTATGTCCTTCTAAGACATCAAGTCGTATCTTCTCTATGGATTATCGAATAGAGTAGCAAAAATCTAACACATGTCCCCAACCTTCTCTCCTCTCATCCATGGCACCATGGTCGGCCAATCTTCGCTCCTCGGAGTTGTACCCCCGATTGTGTCACGTTCATCGGTCTTACGACTGTTACCAATAATATCCTAGTGTGTGACAAATTCGTATCACACTTACCGATCCTTGCGGAAATTGCCAAGCTCATGGATGAAAAGATTTTTGGGCAAAAGAAGGAACTTGTGCACGAACTGCAGTGCACCATACTCAAGAAATTTGTGATAAACATTGAAGAACTCAAGGAGGAAGCATCAACCGACCTGGTAGCCATTGCACATCTAGAGAAGGGCGTCCCCGTTAAGGCCTTCACTAAGGAGGAGCACCTGTAGGGAAAGCACAACCTCCATTGAAGTCCTTCCTCTTATCTCGAGGACCACACCCAGGTATACGAGAAGAGGGAAAACCTGCGCCTATGAGAAGTGGCAGGAGTACAACCTACAACCACGTCAGTGAAAACTCCAGTAGCCATGGGGTGCCCTCAAGAGGTAGCCATGCGACAAATCGCAAGAGTAGCTATGCTAGCAACTGTGGTGGTGATGGATTCCTCTCCGGTTGGTGTGGTGGACTCACAACCAACAACACCATTTGTTCCTAGTAGCAACGGCTCCTCTTCCCGAGTCATTGCTAGTCCCTTTGTTTCATGCACCGCTCCTCCATATGCTAGCAATTGCATTAGAGTTTATAGTAGCGGGAACAAAGGATGAGCCTGCCCTTGAAACCCTCCCTCACAAACCCTAAGGCTCACAAGCCCTGCCAACCTTCGTTCTTCCTCAGATTTGTACCCCAAGTGTGTCACATTTATCGATCTTGTGGTCGGTACTAATCCTAGCACGTGACAACCATCAAGAAGGATGTTATGTAAATGATTCGCAAATTTCAATCCATGAACTCCCAGGGATGAGCTATCTTAATGTAGTGGTAATGATGCTTCTGGCAAAGTCTGAAATTGGCTCGATGTCAAGCGATTTGTGACCAATCAGCCCGGTACACTTGTTCGGGGAAGCTTGTTGTTGAAGCTCTGGCGCCCAAGCATAACCATTCATGATAATCACTAACAGAGCTAGTTGGGTAAGGACGAGCCATTGCCCCCT